TGATACAGAACACTCCTTTTCATGGGACAGCAAGACCAATCCTCAGGGAAAGGAGAACATCCCTTTATGTGGCCTGTAACAATGGTGAGGAGCAGGTTAAACATCGTGGGCTTCTCCTCTTGTCACACTGGAGGTGTAGGAGAGGATCCCTGCATTTCACAGGGGGGAAACTGAGGCCCAGAAGTGTTAAACAAATCATCTGAAGTCACAGAACAAATCAGAAGGGGAAATTCAGGAGCTGAGCCTGGCTTTCCCTTCCCTTTCTCTTCCAGTTCCACACCTCCCATGGCTGTGGAGCCATTTGCACCACGATGCTGGGCTTTTAAAATGAGCACATTTACTGAATGGAGAAAGCCCTCCCCTTCCATGCAGGCACAAAGTCACTTGGAGATGCTCTTAAAAAGCCACCAAACCCAAAGCAGTATTATTCCAGCTGGCTGACCACCCCTGCCAGCAGATGCCAAAGCATGATGTGTCAGCAATGAAATGATCAGCCACTCCATGTAAGTTTTAGGGCTTGCTGTGTTCACCAGAATGGAAAACATGAGGCTGGGGCCAAGACTGGTGTTTAAATAAGGTGTCTCATGCAGTCAGACATCTGTCCAGCTGTGGCTGTGCTGTGCTCTACAGCAGCTTCCCTGACTTATTGTTGCCAGATTAGCAGCATGGGAATGTTCATCTCTTTAATTCTGGGCAGTGTGGAACCAGGAGGGAGTGTGGATCTGCCTAATGAAGCAAATTTGCTCCACAACCCCTGCCCTAACAGCACCTTTTTATTAAAGGAAGTGGGAGGTACCCTCAGCTGCCTTCCCTGGCCTTTCTCATTAGGAACTGGGCAGTGCTGACAGTGTAGGAGAGGAAAACAGTAACAATAATAATAATAATAAAAGAAAAAAGTCCAGGTGTCAGTCATGTTGCCATTGCATTGCAAGCAAAAAAAAATGGGAACAAATTTCCTTTCCAGTTTTTGAAGAGAAGGAGGCATAACTTTGGGGTACAACTGAATTCAGTGTGTCTTCAGTGCTTCTTCCACCTTCCAGAGAGAAAAGGAGCAGGATCAACCCACAGCTGCCCCAAAAGTCCTGTCCTGAGCTTGCCTTGAGGTATCAAGTGTCAGCTTTACTCACAAGGCACAGCAACTCCTTTTTATCTGCAGCCACACTGTGAAATACATTCCCTGTCTCCAGAAATGCCTCTGGACACCAAAGGCAGGGGAGAAGTGAGAGAGGGGGGTTACCTGCAATCACACACCAGCTCAGCTCAAACCAGTGCCTCCACTGCCTGGCCTCCTGATCCAATGGACCATTCACTCTTCTGGGGGTCTTTGCAGCATGTCCCCACCTCAGGGTGCTCTGTTTTCCCAAATCAGAATGCCGGGTTCTTCCCCCTGACACTGCAAATCCATCTCAGCATCTTCTGTGATGTCTGATGCAGGAACAGGCCATAAAAACACTTCTTAAATAAAAGTACTTGTTACCCAGAGAAGCAAAAGGGAACACCTAGTCCTGCCTTCCCATCTCCCACCTGGATCAGCAGCTTTCACTTCAGACAGCAGAAGTACACAATTATCTGGAACTTGATGGGAAACTCCAGCATCCAGAGTGGCTTGAGGAGACCAGACAAGATGCCAACAGGAGGGAAAGGACAAAGGATCCTCCAGCTTGGACTGCAAGGGCAGTTTGGATAAGGATCCAAACAACTCAGCAAACACTTCAGGTGAGGAACACCAGGTGAAGCTCAAGGAGCAGCCCAGGAACAGCCAAGGGAACAGTCCAAGGAACAGTCCAGAAACAGCCCAGGAACAGCCCAGGGAAACAGTCCAGGAACAGCCCAGGAACAGCAGCCCTGGTTTTCACAGGTGACCTCAGGTTACGGTAAATCCTGGACTTGCTTCTGATTTTTACTTCAGTGCATGACAAAATCCACAAGGAAACCTCCCATGTGCCTTGGCTGTGGCAGGACTCTGACCTTGGCATTGCCACGGGCTCCCCACAGCCAGGGAGGAACGTGGGGTTTTGCTGAGGAGACACTTTTCGGATGCCCTGGTTTTGGCAGCAAACCTGACACGGGACAGGCACCTCCCAGGTTTGTGACGCCATAATTGTGCCAAAGCATCTCATCTGGTTTGAGGTCTGTCTTAGAAATGGATCTGAGTTAAAAATAACTCTCTTCTCCTCTTTTTCTGTTCTGCAGATTGTTTTAGCCCTGAATCCACCCAGTGACCTGCTCGAAACCCCACAGTTGTGTAACATCCTTAAAACAGCTTTGCTGCTAAAACCAGGCATGAGTCATGGAGTCACAGACTGGTTTGGGTTGGAAGGGACCCCGAAGATCACCTAGTTCCAGCCCCACTGCCATGGGCAGGGACACCTTCCACTAGCCCAGGTTGTTCCAAGCCCCGTCCAACCTGGCCTTGGATACTTCCAGGGATGGGGCAGCCACAGCTTCTTTGGGCAACCTGTGCCAGGGCCTCCCCACCCTCACAGGGAAGGATTTCTCCCCAGTATCCCATCTAACCCTGTCATCTGGCAGTGGGAAGCTCTTCTCCCTTGTCCTGTCCCTCCATCCCTTGTCCCCAGTCCCTCTCCAGCTCTCTTGGAGCCCCTTTAGGCCCTGGAAGGGGCTCTAAAGTATTTCTGGAGCCTTCTCTTCTCCAGGTGAACCCCCCCAGCTCTCCCAGCCTGGCTCCAGAGCAGAGGGGCTCCAGCCCAGCAGGTTCATGTGCTGACATTGGGGCCCCAGGGTTGGACACAGTAACCCTGTGCCTTTGCTGAAGCACCAGTGGGTTCCAGCTCTCCCACCTACATGATCTTATTTGCATTTTCCCCACTTCATGTTGCAGCTGCAAAGGTAAAGGACAGACACAATGACTGGAACTGTAACACATTCAGCTGACTCAGTGTCAGCTGGGGAAGTCACAGGGATGCTGCTGAGCCCTCGGGGTGTTGCCTGAATAGCAGATCATGGGGAAATCTCAAAATGAGGTCAAACTTAATTAAAATAATCTCTCTCTGTAGGAGGGCCTGATCCAGAGGTTGATAATAGGATAAATAACCTTTACTTCCAGGTTGCCAGTTAGAATTTGGCTCCAGCTGGGAGTGATGGAAAGTCAATGTGTCCTGGCCAGGGGCTGCTCAGTCTCCACCCTCAGAGAATTTAAAGTCTAGACTGGATAAAGCTGCCTGTAATCTGGTCTGACCTCAGAGCTTTGAGCAGATGTTGGACCAGGGACCTCCTAAGAACCCTTTCAGCCTGAATTATCCTGTGATCCTCATGTCAAGGTTTTCCTAAGTCACACTGCTACCAGAACACAACTTGGCCTCTGCAAAATGCAAGGAGCCACTTAAGACAGATGGACACTTTCCATCCTGATACTCTCCAAAATAAAAACCAAGCCAATTTTTTTTTTAAAGACTGGAAGCTTTCACAGGGAAAATGCCCAGTGGTGACTATTAGTGCCCTCAAAAGAAATCAGGAGGCAGGTTCATCTGGGCTGGCAGGTCCCTGCAGTGCCTCCTGGCTCAGAGACAGCAGTGCTGAGCATCACACTTAGCTCTCTCTGTCAACGTTGATTTTAGCATTTTAATTGTCTGTGGTGCTGGCAGGATGCTCAGGCACCACTTTCCTTGTGCAGCAGCAGCAGCTGAGGACAACCTGGTTCAAAGCTGGTTCTAACCCCAGCCACCAGCTGCAGCCTTTTTCAGAAAGGTGGCTGCATGCTGGCAGAGTCCTGATTCCCTGGGAGATGTGACCCTTCTGAGCACTGCCCTGCAGAGGGAACACTTTGTGTTGTGGCTGGAATTACCCCGGGGGACATCAAAACCTGCCCAGCCCGTGTGGGCTGAGCTCAGAGCTGGTGGTGATGCACTCGGGTCACTGGGGGAAGTGCTGGGAAGAATTGCATGTCCTGTGGCAGCCAGAGTGACAACATTCCCGTGAAACATTTGGCCAACAGGAGTAAACAAACCAAAAAACCCATTATTAGCAGAGAACACCAGCCCTGGGCTTCAATAATTGATGCACCAAAAGCATATAAAAGAGCCTCCAACAATACATTATTAAAACCAGCTATTTGTAAGGTGCTGTGAAAACAAATGTAGAGGGAGGAGGTGAGAGGGAGCCTGAGGAAAGTGATGGTGAGGCAGAAAAGGGAAAGAAAGGCAATGGGGTCTCACCTGAAGGAACTCCCAACCAATGTCTGGTCAATGTGGGGGTTGTCCCTCGACACAGCAAAAGCAAAAGCTCTACCTTGAACCAGCCAAATAAATTTAACCATCCTGTATACTCTGGAGAAGGGGGGGTGATTTGTCCCTCCCCACTGGCTGTTGGGGAAAGCTGAGTGTTATTTTGCCTTTAACTCCTAAGTTTAGGGGGGAGGCTGAATCCAGAATCTGATCCACCTTTTTTGATGGCTTTACTTGCTAAGCCCCCAAATTAGCACCTGCCCTACATAAAGTCCATGAAGACTAAGACAGTGTGGCACTGGGGACAGCTGGAGGGCACACAGCACATCAGGATGCAGAAAGTCAGGAGTGTCTGAGATGCCTCTGGGATTTTTCCATTGAAGGATCTCTCTGTCAAAATGCAGATTCGTTTATGCCAAAAGAGTTTGCGGGAAAGGGTTGGTTTTGACGAATTTCTTATTCACAAGAAAGTCTTGAAGTCATCTCTCTGACATGCTCAGGTTAAAACCCTTTGCTTTTTAAGGCCAAAGCAAGTTTTCAGCTCTAACAGAGCCTCCTTTGGACAAGTGATTTTATATGGAACCAGCTACAAAGGCCTCGTTCAGGGAACTTTCTGGCCACAGTTCCACTAACAGGGATAAGGGCACAGAGGGATATTTTGTGTTGACAAAATAAGCACTTTCTTCCTTGAAAGTTGGCTGCATCATTTATTTAAGCATAGTCAATATTTAATGGAGTGCTAACATGCACATTAAATGTATTGTGAGGCCTCTTGGCCTGATGTCACAGCAGCAGGAACAGCTCCCCAGGAATCCAGGGCAGGAGTCACAGCAACCCTGCTCTGCCACACTTGAGGTGTTTCTTAGGACCATCCTGAAACACTTGTTATCTCAAGGGCAGGCATTTGGGGCTCAAGGAGGTGATAAAAGTGCCAGCTGAGCTGCTGTGAGCAGTGGTGTGAGTGCCATGGGACGGGATCCCATCACTGGGGCTTGGGGTCACTGTGGTGCTCCAACAGTGACATCTGCACAGGGAAACCTGCTCCTGGGTGCTCACCTCTGCACTGCCCCTGCTCACCTCTCCTGGGCTGCTTTTTGCTTAAAACTGCCTTTTGTGAGGTGGGGAGGGGCAGGAGGAGGGATATTCTTTAAGCTTTGACTCCCCGTGACCTCCCAGAAGCAGCGGTGGAAGAGGATCAGGGAACACCTCCAGTCTGGTTGATGATGAGCTGCTGCAGCTCTGCACCTCCCAGCACCCTCCTGCCTGCCCACCCTGGGCCTCCAGGCTGTGTTTCCCAGGGCTGCTCGTTTCCACTGGGCTCAGACTCTGCCTCAGACTCTGTTTTCTTCTCTGGTTGTTCCCTGCTGTGCTGCAGCTGATGCAGATCCCTGCTCTGCCTTTGTTGGGAAGTTTTTCCTCCTGTCCCCCTTGAAAAGGCATGTTTTGTTGACTGAGCAGGAAGCAGAGTGTTCAGCCCACAGGGGTGCTCAGACGTGGCTTACAGGAGTGCTGAGAGAGTCCAAGAGGGGATTTCAGGGATCTTGCCATCACCTATTTTGCTGCAAATACACAGATATGTGCCCTCTGCAGCCACCTCCTTTGTGCTTTATATAAACCCAGGGTCAGGACATGATGTTAACACTCAGCCAGCAGGTTTGGAAAACGTTTGGCCCTTAAGCTGTGCTTTGGAGGCCTGGATTGGGCTCATCTCCTTTGAAGAGACCTGACATCACAGCCTTTATCACCCTCTCACCCCAGGAGCCAACACCTTGCTGCCGGGGAAGATACTGAGATGCCAGATGAATGCCAGCAGCTGGGAGACTCCAAGGGACAAGTTTGCTGAGTGCCAACACACAAAAGTCCTTGGGAAGCCAGGGAGGTGACAGCAGGGATGGGTGAACCTCAAAGATGTGCCTCAGTCCTGGTCACTGGGGACATCCCAGCTGCTGGGGCTGGAAACTCCTCTCTCCTCTCGTGGCTCAGATCAGTGGATGCATCGAGGTCTGCTGACTTCACTCCTGCCATCCAGCCAGTGACACCTAAATATTTTCCTCCTTCAGGAGACAAAGGGAAGGAGGGCAGCCTGGCTCTTGTCAAGTGTGGAGCTGACAGCTTTACAGCCTCGCTGGGGAGAGCAGCTGAAAGAAAGAGCGTTAGATTTAATCTGTGCTGACAGGGGTGGGTGATGGGTATTTTTATAGTGGAGGAAATGTATCGAACAGGGGAAATTAGACCAGAAGATGATAAGGATCTGGGCCTGACAACGCCAATTAATAGATGTTTACAAATGATAAAAGCTGATAGATCAAAGCAAATGCACTCCCTTTTACTCCATGCCTCCAGATTGTTTGGAAGTGCCCCAGTTGGTGGTGGCTGTTCTGTCCCTGAGCTCAAGACACTCTCCAGCCTGTGGCTATCCCAGAGCAGCTCTGTGCTGCAGGTTTCTGCTGCAGCCAAGTGCTCCCAGTGACCACAGTGCCTGAGCACAGCATTTGGGAGTGATCAGGGAGCCTCTGAACAGGTCCTGACTCCCAGTGTTTGGGTGTGGAGGGGCATAATTCCTCTTTGTTCAACACACAGGGGATGTTTCTCTGCCTTGCACATCTCCCTGAACCCAAAAAGCCGACTAAGAAAGTGGTACAGAGGTGGTTTGTGGTGCAGAGGGAGAGATCCTGATATCCAAACATGGAGAGCCCCTGGCTGCCCATTGCTGCTCCAGGAGGGAGCTGGGCCTCCCATATATCCTGAGTTACACCCATTGGAGGATACTTAGGAAAAGATACTTGCCAGGAGAAGTGTGCTGTGATGGTGAGGTCAGTGCCACTCTGCTCCTTGGCAACCTGCACCCACTGTGGAAATGAGGACTGAATGGCCAAACTCCTTCCCTTGGTGTGCCTGCACTGCTCCTTGACTTCTGGATCATGATCCTTCATGCTCCATCCCCTCCACATGCATTTGCTCCTTGTTATTTTTGAGCTCAGTGTGCGAAACACCCCCAGGCCAAAATCCAGGTGCAGCTCTCAGGGTGCAGGCCAAACCTGCTTCCTGCAGACCCCACTGATGAGGGAATTCCCAACTCTCTTCCCCCATCTGTGCCCCACCTCACACTGCCCAGCTGGCCCTGTATTCCCATGGGGCACATCAAGCCACTCCAGGACAGACAAATCACGTCCCCAGGGAAGGAGAAGGTTCTTTCCTGAGCCTCCAGCTCCTACCACACCACACCTGGAAGCTTTGCAGGGTGCCTGTGGGGTAACCACCCCAAATCACTGCCAGCTCAGGGCAGGCTTGTCCTGCAAACAGCTGTTGCTTCCAGCAGCACAGCTCTTCCCTGAGCTCACACTGAAGGGAAACACCGTGAGGATGAAACCAGGAATAGTTTGGCACAGCCATGAGATGGAAAATCAGCGTGAGCTGCAGCTTGCAGAGGGGTTTGAACACAACCATTGCAGGTGGCAGCAGCTCCTGGGGTACAAGAGCCATCCAAAGCCCCAGGCTGGGGGCACAGTTCCTGCCCTCAGGAGGTCGAAGGCCACCTCCATCACCAGCCCAGGCACCTGGGTTGTGTTAAGCTGGACATGCAGCTTGGAGAAAGTGTGGTGCAAATCGATAGCCTGGGCCTACCAATACAGCTGGACTGGTCTGACTTACCCTGCTTCCAAGTGCTAAATTCCTTGGAAACTATATTTACCATAAGCCCAGGTAATACTTTCAAAGGTTCTCAGTGATTTAAGAACTTATATCTCACAGACTGACACCAAAATTTGGACTTCAGCACCCAGATCCACCCAAGAACACGTGTGCAATGTTAGTCTGAGCTCCTGTCTCCCAGCTTGGACTCAAAGCATATGGTTGGACCTGAGCCTAAGCATCTAAGTCCCTTAGGAAAACCAGACTTTGGCACCTAAGTCACCTAGATGGCATGTTTATATTTAACCTTGGCCAAATCTGTGGCCTGCCCACAGGTTCTCCTCCACGTGAGAATCCTCAGCAGCATCAACATTTATATTTTAAATCCAACCCTTGGACAAGGCAAAAAAATCCCCAAATCCTGAACATTACTTATATTAAAGTTCCTACAGCACTGTCTGTGGAGGAGAGGTGTTATCCCCAGGACCCTGGTCAGGTTCCAACTCAAGCAATTGCTCTCAGTCTCTAACACTTCAAACTCCCTCTCCAGTTTCTGTTTCATTGTGTTGTGTCCCTCTCTGCTTTGCCTAAGCCCTGAGATTTTATTAAATCTCTTCTAGTCATTTATAAACCTATCCCAGCTCCACCAGTGGCAGAAATGGCAGGACTTGCATTGTCCTCCCCCAGGAAAATAAATACAAAAGCATTTCCCTCTTAATGTGATCCTTTGATCTGCTCAGGTTTTACTTTTTCATTCAGAGTTGAGATTAAAATATCATGGAAAAAATATTTTGGAGGAAATATTCAGTTCAAACAAATAGATCTGCAGGAGAAGAAATTTGATGCTTGTGAAGAGGTCACCCAAAAGGATGTTGGTGATTTCATACCCTGCTAAGAACTGTCTGCCAAGGCAGCAGGAAATTTCTCACTTCAGTCTTCCCTGATAAATTAATAATAATAATAATTGATAATTATAAGGAAAATTAAAATATTCCTGTAGACAGCAGTGATTTTTTAAAAAGAGCCATTTCACATCAGAATGATCTCCTGCTTTTGTAACACCTGACAGAATCAAATCTTGATTTTCAGCCTTGTTCTCTGGGTGAGACCACCACGGCCCCACATCTGTGCTGCCAGGGGGACTGAGAGCCTGTGGAGCCCTGCCTGTGGCACGAACATCACCCACTGCTGGCCAAGAGTTCTGTCTGGGAGCTTCCCAGGAAGCTCAGCTTGGGATGGGGTACAGCCAAGGTGAGCAGGGCTTATTCCAGCCCACCTGCTGAAACCTGCTGCCAGCAGCAGGAATCTGGCTGGTTTCAACGAAAAGGTGGATGTTGATCTCATTGCAATGCCTGGCAAGTCAGTGAGCATCTCTTTATTCCCAGTTAAGTAACCCTGAAGTGACTCCCTGGTGTAAGCAGGGCACGAGATGGAGCCCAGAGTGCCCTGGGGTGACCTGCACCCACCGGCCTCACACAGGCAAGGCCTGCCAAGGGCTTTGTTAGACCTTCTCCCCGAAGGGAAGATGAATGTGGGACTCACAGGGATCCCTCCCTGCCTCCTTTGAAGGGCAATGGCATTCCTGGGATGCTTGAGAGTTGATGGTGTTGAGGGCTTTGAAGTGAAGTACTTGAGCAGTCTATTTTGACTTCCCTGGGTGACTCATGCTCAGCTCCGTATCTAAGATGGCTTTTCAGCTTCCTTTGACTGCTTTCCAAAAGCTCCATGTTTGCTCAGCCTGTAACTCTTCTGTTCAACATTCGCCCTTCCTCCTGAGGGAGGATGAACAGCTTCCTAACTCCAAAAGGGTTCAATGGTTCAGGCAGTTGTTTTTTCAAGAATAGCAGTGTCTAAAGGCATTTTTGTACCAATAGGACGAACCTTAACCCTTTGCCGAGCCCATGCAGAGCCTCAATGAGAGGCACTTGGCTGTGACACCGCAGCTGATCACATGGCAAATGGCACTGACACAGAAAAGCAGGAGCACCAGGGAGGTCTCACATCCTTTTGTCCTGATCTGGATCATAAGGGTGTGATAAGGGCTCAGAAATAACTTTGCAAAGCCCAACCAGAGCTGGAGTGATTCTGAACCCGTGCGTTGTGCCTTTCACCCAAACACCTGCAATTCCCCCTTAAATGGGCTATTTTTAGATGCTCTTTAGTTTGTGGCTCTGCAGTGGGTCAGTGCCCACCCACACTGCCCCACCCTAAAGGAGCAGGGCCCTGACTCTTTCCCAGAGGAGGGGGTTGAGATCCCAAGACTCAAATCAAGAAGAAACGCACACACACATTCACAGATACCTTCATTTTGATGTCTCCTTCTGCCATCCACACACAACCTTTTCACTAAGAGAAAATCCTTTAAAAAAAATATCCATGAGCTCTACTGCCAAACCCACCCGGCTCTGGCAGGAGCTGCTGCAAAATGGAACAACTGAGAACTTTGTTTCATTTTCATTGAAATTCCACTGCTAGGTGACAATTCCTAGAGTTGCAACAACCTCCCTGCCTGACATTTGACCCGGGAATTAGCAGTTTCCCAAATGTTTTTCTGACCCCCGGGGTTCCAAGCGCTTGTTTTGGGGGAATCAAGTCTCCCTCATTGTTCCTCGTGGTCGGTGTCCTGCGGGGAGGCACAGAGGGTGTGGTGCCTGTTGTGCCACAGGGTGCCCCGGGAAGGATGTTACAAGGATCAGAGGCCACCGTGAGGAATTCCAAGGTACAGAAACACCAGGAGCCTGACTCCAGGTTCACTGAGGAAATCTCTTCCCAGCAGGATTACCTGGCTGGCATTGGAGGCACAGCACTTTCCTACCCTCTGGAGCAGGGAGACAGGAATGGTTTCAGAATGTACCATGCCCTGCATTTGTCATTCAAGTGAGGCACAAGAATTTATGCAAATTACCACAGAATGAAGAAACCCTGGATCTGGCTGCAGGTTCCCACGTGCTGCATCTGGAGCTTGCACGGGAAGGGAATGGTCTCTTAAGCACATCCCTACGACTGACACCAGGGAACCAGAGCACTGTGTGTGCTCCATCGTGGTGTGACAGCCCCAGACCCACATCTGGGGGCTGTCACAACCTTCCAGACAGGATCAGACCCACGAGTCACACCCTCAGTGGCCCAGGCTGCTGTCTGACACAAACATCCACTGCTATCGAGCTGTGGCCTTCCCTTCTGCCACCTGGATTTATCCTTGACATAGGAAACAGTTTTAAAGGGTTTCAGGGACTTTGGGGAGCTGGATCCACTTCCCAGCTCCCACACTGGCACCACAAGGACCAGCATCAGAAAGTTCTTTTACCTGAGGCCACCAAAGGGTGCAAGTTATGCTTGTAGCTCCAGGTTTTCCTTTACTTCTCCACTGGGAAAAGGATTCCTTTTGGATTGGTGGGATGAAAGTCACAGAGAGGAGGCACCAGAACCCCAGGCCTGGAAGGAAACAGGAGCACGGAGGTGACTGAGCAGGGAAGGAGGGCTGGCTGCTCTGGGCAGTGGCAGAGAAGACTTTGCTGCCTTCATCTGTAGGAGCTGCTGAGTATCCCTTCATGCCAAGAAGCCAATGAGAGGTGAATGCTGACAGAGGTGAATGCTGAAAGAGATGCTGACGTAATTTTTATCGGCAAAGATGAAACCATGGAGAACATCCCGTCCAATTTTTGATTTCAGACAACCCC